CCCATCACACGTTTCGCGGCCCCATAGTGAGCTCCACCTGGGGCCCCGTGCAGTGGGGAAGTTCGCATGGCACCACCGCCTTAATTTCGGCACACCCCTCGCGCGTTTCGCGGCTCCATATGGAGCTCCACCCAAGGCCCCAATCGGAAAGTTCGCATGGCACCACCGCCCCATTCGGCACACCCTGCATACGTTCCGTGGCCCCTTAGGGAGCTCGACCTAAGCCCCCAGTGGGAAAGTTCGCATGGCACCACCGCCCCATGCCGGCACACCCCTCACACGCTTCGTGGCCCCATAGAGAGATCCACCTGGGGCCCCACTGGGAAAACCCCCATGGCACCGCCGCCCTATTTCGGCACACCCTCACACGCTTCGCGGCCCCATAGGGAGCTACACCTGGGGCCCCGTGCAGTGGGGAAGTTCGCATGGCACCACCGCCTTAATTTCGGCACACCCCTCGCGCGTTTCGCGGCCCCATATGGAGCTCCATCCAAAGCCTTAATCGGAAAGTTCGCATGGCAACGCCGCCCCATGTCGGCACACCCCTTACACGTTTCGTGGCCCCACAGGGAGCTCCAGCTAAAGGGCCCGAGCGACTCACCTCCGACCGAGAACTGAGGGGCCCGAACGACTCACCTCCGACCGAGAACTGCGGGGCCCGAATAAGTGACCCCCGACCGACAACTGAGGGGCCCGAGCGACTCGCCCCCGACCGACAACTGAGGGGCCCGAGCGAATCACTTCCGACCGAGAACTGAGGGGCCCGGGCGCCTCACCCCCGACCGACAAGTGCGGGGCCCGAACTACTCACTTCCGACCGAGAACCGAAGGGCTCGAACGACTGACCTCCGACCGAGAGATCAGGGGCCCGAACGACTCACGTCCGACCGAGAACTCAGGAGCTCGAACGACCCACCTCGCTCTACGCGGTCAAGCCCCGCGCGTGCGGGTGACCATGGTCACCCGCGCGCGCGCGCGCGCGCCGCGGCGCGCGCGCGCGTTGGAGTTCTGTGTTGTCCACGATGGATAAGTCCACATGTAATTCCAAAAAATGAATTTGAAATTTCTGTGGCTCTTCAAGGAGGCCGACGGTGAGTGGGTCACCCGCGCGTGCGGGTGACCATGGTCACCCGCGCGCGCGCGCGCCGCGGCGCGCGCGCGCGTTGGAGTTCTGTGTTGTCCACGATGGATAAGTCCACATGTAATTTCAAAAAATGATTTTGAAATTTCTGTGGTTCTTTAAGGAGGCCGACGGTGAGTGGGTCACCCGCGCGTGCGGGTGACCATGGTCACCCGCGCGCGCGCGCGCGCCGCGGCGCGCGCGCGTTGGAGTTCTGTGTTGTCCACGATGGATAAGTCCACATGTAATTTCAAAACATGAATTTGAAATTTCTGGGGCTCTTTAAGGAGGCCGACGGTGAGTGGGTCACCCGCGCGTGCGGGTAACCAGGGCGGCTATCGGCCGCGCAAACCTCGAATTCGAAACGCAGGGCACAGCGCCGCGGGCCCGCGGGCCATCGGCCACCAGCGTATCGCCATCTCTGATATTCTTAATCCGCTACATACCCGTTGGCAGCTGTCTGAATTGGCCACGCGCGAACACGTAATCCGCTCCAGAAAACAGCCCACAACAAACAACGCACATCGGACAACGCATTCGCATGCAGTGGAACACCAGTCGTCCAAAGTAAGTACATAGGGAGGCCGCGGTAGTACTAGTATTAGTACTACTACTACTTCTACTACTACTACTACTACTACTACTATTACTATTACTACTACTACTACGACTACTACGACTACTACGACGACTACTACTACTACTACTACTAGTACTATTACTACTACTACTACTACTACTACTACTACTACTACGACTACTAATACTACTACTACTACTACTACTACTACTACTACTACTACTACTACTACTACTACTACTACGGTGGTTACCACTACTACTAAAAATACTACTGCCACGACGACTCCGACTATTACGACTACGACTACTACTACGACTACTACTACTACTACTACCACCACTACTACTACTACTACTACTACTACTACTACTACTACTACTACTACTACTACTACTACTACTACTACTACTACTACTACTACTACTACTACTACTACTACTACTACTACTACTACTACTACTACTACTACTACTACTACTACTACTACTACGACTACTACTACTACTACTACTACTACTACTACTACTACTACTACTACTACTACTACTACTACTACTAACTACTACTACTACTACTAACTACTACTACTACTACTACTACTACTACTACTACTACTACTACTACTACTACTACTACTACTACTACTACTACTACTACTACTACTACTACTACTACTACTACTACTACTACTACTACTACTACTACTACTACTACTACTACTACTACTACTACTACTACTACTACTACTACTACTACTACTACTACTACTACTACTACTACTACTACTACTACTACTACTACTACTACTACTACTACTACTACTACTACTACTACTACTACTACTACTACTACTACTACTACTACTACTACTACTGACTACTACTACTACTACTACGACTACGACTACTACTACTACTACTACTACTAGTACTACTACTACTACTACTACTACTACTACTAACTACTACTACTACTACTACTACTACTACTACTACTACTACTACTACTACTACTACTACTACTACTACTACTACTACTACTACTACTACTACTACTACTACTACGACTACTACTAATACTACTACTACTACTACGACTACTACTACTACTACGACTACTACTGCTGCTGCTGCTGCTGCTGCTACTACTACTACTACTACTACTACTACTACTACTACTACGTATTATTCTTATTCTTCTTATTCTTCTTCTGGTCGTCCCTAGCGCCCTAGGACTAGCACTCCCTAGCGCCAGTACTTCCTAGGGCTTGCACTCCCTAGCGTCAGTACTTCCTAGCACCCCCTCGGGCTAGCACTCCCTAGGACTAGTATTCCCTAGGGCTGGTACTCCGTAGTGCGAGTGCTCCCTAGGACGAGTACTCCCTTGGACGAGTACGCCCTAGGGGTAGTAATTCCTAGGACTGGTACTCCCTGGGGCTAGCACTCCCTGCGGCTAGTACTCCGTAGGACTGGTACTCCCTATGAATGATATTACCGAAAACCAACACTACAGCACCATAGTACTACCACACTACAGCACCACTACCACAATACCAGCACCACAACACCACAACACCGCTACCACAACACCACAACACCGCTACCACAATACCACAACCACAACACCACAACAACGCTACCACAACACCACTACCACAGCATCACTGCCACTACCACAACACTACGACCTACTAGCAACTCAACAACACTACCAACACCACACCACTAACACAACACTATCAACACCACACCACTAACACAACACACCACTACCAACACCACACCGTTATCATACAGCACAACCCTCCACTACCAACACCTCACCACCAACACAACATTACCAACACCACACCACTAACACAGCACAGCGACCACCACACCACTAACACAGCACTGCTACCACGTTGGTTCCAGATGGGAGTTACTGTGGCCACTTTTGCCTGCGCGGGAGTGCATTCCCTTAAGGGTTGCGAATCTCTCCAGATCTAACATGAGATACATTTACAGATTACTTTTCATTGAGCGGCCTGCGCGGGCCACAGTAACTCCCATACCGCCGCGCGACGGGCCACACTAACACCCAACGGGCCACACTAACACCCAACGGGTCACAGTAACAACCGGTCGCTTCCAGGTTGAGTTCTGCGGCGCGGAAACACCGAGGGACACGGCGACGCCACTGGACCCGACTGAATTCGACCTTGAACGATCGGGGCCGCGATCGGTTCAAGGTCGATCGATCGACGCGGTGTCAAAGACCTTTGCGAGCGCCGACGCCGCACGAACCTACGGTACATTGACAGCTCGTCGCAACACGGCATTGAAGATTGGAGAAGGTCGGAGCTTAGTGCCAGGGGCGAGCACAAGGGAAATTCGCTGTCACGTGCTACGGCGTTGCGGTCTTTAGTGAGTTGCATGTGTGTGAGCTTTCTGTGTTGCAGGGTTGCTCCTGTCGCACGCCTGCCGAGGGATTCCGCCTCTCGTGGTGCAATCTATGTGCTCTTCTTCTGCTGGCCGCTGCCAGCGACTTTGTTTTTATTGGGGAGGGGTGCCCTGCCGCGGGGTGGCGGTGTACCGCCTGTGCAAAGCCGCGCCGCTGCCTGACAAAGTACGCGGTGGGCTCCCCATCCAAGACTATCCAAGGTGATTAGGTGTCTACGCATGTCCATGTTCATGTTCATGCGCGCACTTACCCAGGGTAGGGCAGGCGGGGCTGCGACCCAGACTCCCGCATTCCCTCTGTTGCAGGGCTGCGCAGTGCGTAGCATTGCATATAATTTGTTCCTCTGCGTTTCTCTGTTATCATTGATTCGAAGTGCTTTGACTCGATTTGATGTGTTTTGGTAGCGGTTGTTTTGGTGTTGTTTGCCTTGCTCGCGTTGTCTCGCCACGCCTTGCATCGCACCACATTGCTATGCGGGCTTTCCTTGGCTTCTTATCAGGACCGAACTGCACTTCTTCGCACTGCATCGCATTGCGTTGCACCGGACCGGTCATCAGTGCACTGCATTCGCTTTCTAGACCTTCATGCGTACGTACCGTCTCGCATCGCGTCGTGCTGCGCTGCCTGTGGCAGGAGATAGATCCTCGAGGAACGGCGGGGCAGCATCCTCACGGAGCCCCGCCTCGGGTCAGAGTTGCCATTGGCCTTCTTGCGTAAAGCAAGTCAGGGCCGATAGCAAAGCCGAATGTGTCACGAAAACCATTTCCCCTTTGCCCATGCCCTCGCCACACCTGTGGCATGTCCTCCTCTCATGTGCCCCTCATTGTACTCTTCCCCCCTCTTCCTGCAGTCGAGGTCTTCGCCTTCTCCGGGAACTGGATGTACTTCGAGCTAATGGCGGAGATGGACAGGCGATGGGCGCCAGAGAAATTTGTAGTTCTGCATCTTACCTCCCTGAAGCATAGCCCTATCCCTGTGGTTGGCATCGCCTTGTTTCGTTGTCGATCTGAATGGTTTTCTCGGTTGTCTGAAGGATATCCCTGAGGTTGGCCATCATCTCGGGCTATCCAGTCAGAAGGATAGGGATCGAGGTTGGTTAGCGTCGGCCTGTGCGTTTGTGAGTATGGGGAGGACTGGCGCAAATCCAACACACTTGACTGCTTCTGCAATACGCCCTCCAGCCCGAAACCTTGCCTTCATGTGCGCACGACGTGCTCGCACCCCCCTCCAGTGGCCAGCGCCCGCCGGAGAGGTGAGATTCTCACCAAGCAGCGGCGAAGCTTCCTGGTTTGCCTATAGGCCTACAAAACACTGTTCTAAGAGCCTTCTGTGGTCTGCACGAAATCTTCTCTTCGAATATTTCAACACATCGGGCTCATGTCCTGAGAACATGATTTTTGCTCTTAGGAACATTTCTGGGTTCCAGGAACATGTCGTGCTGGGCCTAGAGGACTGCCGGGATGGTCGGTCCCTGCTCAATCTCATGGGCCCGCCCCAGGCTTGGCGCCCTGTAGGGCTGCGGCGGCGATCCTCACGAGGTCATGCCGTGGGGTGGGGCCCACGAGTCCCCTTAAGACGGTCCCAGAGCAGCCATGCTGCGGCCCCAAGGAGCCGTTCTCGTCTGCATCCTTCGGGCTCGTGTACGCTTGTGGCATTCCCGCCTCTTCGGTCCTGGCAGCGAACAGCCCAACCCGAGAAGGCTGGGCAGGTCAGGACCTTGTGCGGCCTTGCCACAGGAATGGCCCCGGGCGGCCGGAAACTGTGAGACAACTTGTGAGTTCTCAGTTCGAAGCTCGCGTTCTGCGGCGCAGGGTGTCCGAATGCAGTTCTCTTGAGAGGTGGCTGCCCTCTGGCGTGAGAGCAAGTGGGACAGTCGCCGCGACCTTTCTAAGGGGATAGAGGTGGCCAATGCGGGCTTCACGGCTTACCCTCCGTCGGGCGGTTGATCACGCTCCCTCACCGCGGGATGGGGTTTTCATTGCGAGGCACGCGAAGCGACGGCCATGAGGTTGCTGCAGTTGAAGATGTTCACGGGCCGCTTGTGCAACCCCCAGCCGCTGCCCACCTGGCTGCCCGAGCCGGTGAGCGAGGCGCTGCGATGGTGCGACCTGGTTGCGTTGCCTGGCACACAGCAGCGGGCGGATCCAGATGGTGACCGTTCTGTTAAAATTCTGGAGGTGCAACGCTTTTCACCCCTACACTGACCCCCCCGTAAAGGTAACGATTGCAAACTGGGCGAACGCGTGAATCTCTTTGCCGTTGCGCTTTATACTTCAGCCTGACCGCCGTGATCACGACCCTGGCATCGATGAGACCGTACAGCGTGCTGCCGTTTCTGCCTCCAGGGCTTCCGTCGCTGTCTCCTCTAGCGCTTGTAATGGCTTTCTGGGGCTTATTTTTCGGCGTAGTCTGGAGTGGAAGGTGGCCGTCGCCGCCTCTCGCGCCGCCCCCGTCCACTGCAATGGTGGCCCATCCGATACGCCACGTACAAGCCCAACGGGGCAATGGTCCTACCAATCCGCCGCGGGAAAGCGTGGCACCAATCTTACCAAGTCTGGCCGCACATTCATTTGCGGAATGAACTAGTTTGACGTCGAGTTCATGAAGACGTCGATCGGCCGATCCAACTCTCACTCTTGGCCTCTGTAGCTTTTTTGGGGGCGAAAGTACGTGGCCGTCACCGTCAAGTAGTGCGTCATTTCCGACCAGCTTAGCGCCACAGTGTGGGGAGACGCTCGGTGGCATCCGAAGATCTCGAGCTCGCCTGCCGCATCGAATCCCGCCTGCTCACTGGTGTTCCCGAAAACCAGCACAATGTAACGGTTCCCCGCCGCCCGCAGGTCACGGGTGCGAGTCATGGCATCATTCCTCTTGGCGTAGCTTCCTGACGGGGGACAGTTACCACGAATCCAACGATCGGAGGTTGCTAGACCTCCTACCCTGACACGTCGATCAGCGAATTGGCCGTTTTCGGTTCGCGGGAGGGCGTCGCGGCCGTCATTTTTGCGGGTCCAGGTCCGTCGGTCTCGGTCCTAGGCCGTTTTCATTAAAGGGTGGTTTACTAAAGGGAGGTTTGTCCACCGTCGAAATGAGCGGGGTGGTGGCCGCCGCGAATTTCAGGCCTTCGGCGCGGCCCGTGATGTCCAGCGGCCCCCCGGGGAGAGAGCGCATGCCTCACCGCCGGCGTGCCGATCTTCCTGCCCGCCTGGGAGGCACCACAACTCCTTGTTACTCCACCCAGAGTGGTGGCCAACATGTCTCGGCGCCGCTCCTGGCGCGCTTCGCGCGCCAGGGAGGGGGGCCCAGATGCGGATCCGAGAAATCCGCGCGGAGCGCAAAAGGTTATGTTTATGTGTGTGTGGTGTGTGTATGTGTGTGTGTTCGTCTTCTTTCAATGTCGGCTAGTACTGATACGCGTCGCCTGAACATGCGATCGTTCTTTTATTCATGGGGGGTAGCGCGTGTTTCCCTGGGGGGGGGGTCTGGGCGGGGGGGTACTGGTAACGGCGGCCGAGGCGCGCACCCGCCAGGGTGAGTCCGAGCCACCGGCACATCAGTCGCCTGTGTGCACCGCGGTCCCTGTGTACGCGACACTGCCCAATGCCTGCGTGCAACACAGCGCCGCCTGCGTACACCACAGTGCCTCCTTACACCACAGCAGCCGTGCGCACCACAGCACCACGGCGCCTGTGTACATCGCAGTGCCTGCGTACACTGCAGCAGCCGCGTGCGCAACAGCGCATATGTAGACCACAGTTCCTGCGTGCACCAGAACGCTTGTGTACGCCACAGCGCCTGTGTACACCACAGCAGCTATGTGTACCACAGCGCCTATGCACACCACAGAGCCTCCGTGCACCACAACGCCTGTGTGTACACCACAGCGCCAAACGTGCCATCGGGCGCATTAGTACCTTGCGAGCACCAGGTTGCGCTTGTGAGCGCCACAGTGCGCCGGGGGCCTGCTACGAACCAAAAGCGCGACCAAGGCGCGAGGAACGCTTTACCATGGAACAGTGAGGTCCCGAGGGGAACGGCCAGAGGCAACAGCGGACGACAGCGAGAGCCCGCAGGCTCCCCCCCCCAGTGGGGCTACCAAGCAAGGAATATGCTGTTATCTGGCTCCCTCCCCATTCCCACCTTCTACTCTCAGAGGCGACGATAGGGGCGAATTGAATTGCCCAGGGGAGAAAAATACATGTTTTCAGGTACGCCGATGATAATATGTCTTCGAAAAGCCTCCCGGGCGAATACGTGTAATGCCCGTCCCTGGGCTATTCGCCCCTGTTGTCGCCGCCGATACTCCCCCTCCGCCTCCTCTTCATCGTCTTGCCCCTTCTCTGATATCGTTCTGCTGCACTGCAACGCTTGCGTACACCACAAGGCCTGTGTACGCCACAGCTGCCGCGTCCACCACAGTGCCTGTATAAACCACAGTGCTTCTGTGCATCACAACGCCTGTGAACACCGCAGCGCCTGTGCACTACCAGTAGCCATGTGCACCGCAACGTACGCGTATGCCACAGAGTCTGCGTGCACAACAGCGCCAGCGACGCACCCCGGGAGCGCCAGGGGGCGCCCAGAAATTACGGGAGTTCTTCGGCCTGACCCTTGCAGCAGTATGTACAACAGTGCATTCGAGAGATCACGGATGGACTTGATATCATTCCTCAGTGCTTCGCGGCAGGTTGGGTTTTTCGTTCGATGAGTCTTTTCTCCTCCCCGATTTCCGATGTGAGTTCTTGGCGACGTGGGCCCCTTGAGCTTTCGACGCCATCACGAGGCCAGTCTTTTGAAGGGCCCCGGAGCCCGAGAGGCCCCCAAGGGCCAAGGGCTGAGGTGCAGAACCAGAACCTCTCGCCGATCCCCGTGTTGCCACGCGTGGGGGTCTGGGCCGGCCATCCCCCCGCCCCCCCCCGTTGTGGCCACGGCCCTGCTCTTATGTCGGGCGTGTCCCCCTACAGGGGGATTTTCGACGAAAAATAAAAAATACCACAAAAATACCCCAAAAAGGTTAAAAGATACCCAAGAAATAGTCCCCAGACTATTGTTTGATTATTTTTTGACTATTTGTGGCGTGTGGTTTAGTTTCCGTAGAACATCCCCCTGTAGGGGGACACGCCCGACATGACTCTGCTCCCCTGTGGAGAGGCCGCAGGACTTCCTCCGGGCCTTCACCATCGCGGGCCCGACGCAGGTGGGGCCCCCCGCGCGCCGCCGCGAAGCCCAGACCCAGTGGGGGTGGACCGCGCAGGGGGGGGGGGGGGTCCGCGCTCCTGCCCCCCTTGCCAGCCACCCGGGCTGTGCCGCGCCCAGTGCCCGGGTGGGATTCGATGCTTGGTTTGCGTATCCGCGTGATGACCTTCGGCCCGGGCCGCCACCGTGCCTGGGTTGCGGGTGTGGAGCGTGTTGGATGTTCGTCGGGATCTCGTGGGGGCGCCCTCTCGGGCGCCTCGTGCGCGCAGTTCGGAGGCCTCTTGAGGGCCGTTTTGCGGCCTCTTGGGGCCTCGTTTGGATCCTTTGGGGGCCTCATGGGGCCTCTTCGGGGCGTCTTCGGGCGTCTCTGGGGCTTCTTGGGCGCCTCTTTCGGAGCGGAAGTTTCGAACTTTCGGTTCTTGTTCCTTCTCTTGGGCCCCTTTGGGGGCCGTCTTGGGGCCCTGATGGGCCGTCTTGGGCACCTTTGGGGCTGTCTTGGGGCCTTTGGGGGCCGTCTTGGGGGCGTCTTCTGGGCCGTTTTGGGGAGGTTTGGCAGGCTTCGTGGGCCGTCTTGGAGCGTCGGTACGAAAACGCGAGTAGGCTAAAAGCAATGAAGCTTAAGGAAAACCATAGATTTTGGCCTCTTGGGCCCTTCTTGGGAGGCCTCTTGGAGCTTCTTGGAGGCCTCTTGGGCCGTCTGGGGGCCATCTTGGGCGTCTTGGGCCGATCTTTCGGCGACTCGGGGCCCTGTTGGGCCGTCTTCGGGGCCTCTTGGGGCCCTCTTGGCCCGTCTTGGGGCCCTCTTGGGCCCGAAAAGTTCACGCGCCACTTGGCACAGCCCAGGGAGCATGCGACCAGCCCCAATGCAATTCGGAAATTTGGATCCAGGCCCCTTTCAAGACTCCCCGGGGCCCCAGGACTCAGGACTGAGGCTCCAGGGAGTGGGTGAAGGACTTGAGGGCACGCCCACTCCGTGCCCAGAGGCACAGTGGCGGATATACAAATGTATGAATATCGGAGGTGAGGGGTGAGGGGTGAGATCGAAGTGGAACCGAGAGCCCCCCACCAGGAAGTCGGTTTTGATTTCGGGTTCGTGTCGTGCGTGTGGGCGAGGCAAGGTTGCGCGGGCTGGCGAGAGGCATCAACCCTCCTCTGGATATTGCGCGGCGAGAACAGAAGGCCGCCCCCCGGTTGGCGGGCGGGTGCCGGGGGTGTCTCGCCGTGGTGTCCCGTGGTGTCCCGCGGTGTCTCGATTGGTGCCTGCAAGGCCTGACCGACCCGGGCTTGCGCTGACCCGAGCCCGTGGAAGCCCAAGTCGAAGGACAGGTTCTTACAGGATCTTACAGAATCCTATCTTATAAGATCTTGCAAGGCCTGACTGACCCTGGCTTGCACTGACCCGGGCCCGTGGAAGCCCGACTCGAAGGACAGGTTCTTCTGTCCCAGGTCGGAGCACGCAGCAGCCGCCGCGAGCTCTGCGGCGGGGCTGGCCGCGCCACGCGCTCGGGGAGCGATCTGACCTCTGAGCCGCCCGCCCCGCCCCTGTTTTCCTTCGGCCGCGTCCTCTCTTCGCTCCTCCTCTTGTATAGTGGCACAATTCGCTCTAACGGCATCCCCGGTTAAGCCTCTCATCGCCAGCGCAGTCACCCGTTGCCTAGCCGCCGACGCAAAAATTGTTCCAGGTCCGAGCGCAAGAGTACCCCTTCGCCAGAGTGGCCACTCCAGCCTGGAGTGGCCTTCGGAGTGCGGGGGGGGGCTGGCCGGACCCGAGCACGCCAGCCGCCACTGTCGCACCGCATCTTGGCATCGCTTGGACGTGCGCATGCGTTCTCTCTGGGGATTGGGCTATGAGCGTCGGCCCCCCAGGGGCGACGCGCGCACCGAGAAATCTTAATTATGGTACATGTGTCGCGGCGGGCGATTTCTGGCCACACCGCTCGGGAAACGGATATATTACAATATGGGTATCGTATATGTTCGGGTCGGACGCGCGCCTCCAAGGATAACGTATAGTACTAGTACGTCTCTCTGTGTCCCAGGGACCATCGAGGAGCATCCTGGATCATCGAGGAAAACCAAAAGACACGCACGAAACCGAATAATGCGCGGGGAATGGGCGTCCGAGCGACGGCAAAGCACGCATGCGACGATCGGCCGGCCGCGCACCACCGGACATGATTGCCTAGGGTCGCTCTTGCTCGCCATGGGGGAAACGGGTCCTGCAGGAAACGGTCCTGAGGTTTTCCGCCACTGTCGGGCTCTCGTGGCCCGACAACGGGTTCCCGGATTGGCAGATCACGTCCTGGGTGAAGGCCCGGGGTCCAGGACCCATTTCCCTCAGGAGCCGCTTCCCCCATGCTGACTCCTGCGCGCAGCCGAACCGTCCGTGTTCAGAGAGAGGCCGCCGTGGCAAATACCACTGCCTGCCCAGGCTCTGGTCGGGCGGTTCTGTCCCGGGAGGCTGTCACCACCTCGGAGGCCCCAGGCTTTGAAGATGTTTTTTTGTCAGAGTCAAGCAGTGGCGAAACGTCTTGGCTTGCCTATAGGCCCACCACAGAATGTTCTAATAACGTTGTGTGGGCTGCACGAAATGTTTTATATAACATTTCTGGTCGAGACTTTTTTGTGTTAGCGCATCGGACCTATGTTTTAAGAGCATTCTTCTTGTTACTATAACATGTTTTGTGTTCTAAGGAAGCATGCCGTGGTAATCCTACAGGAATGCCCGGACGGTCGGTCCCGCTCAACAGAGGACGGCCCAGGTACCAACATTGCTTGCCCACCCCGCTTCGCAGCCGACTTACCGCATGGTGCAGTCACCAGGCCTTCGCGTGACCTCCGATATCGCGGATCGATCTCAGAGTTCCCGGTGGTCCTGGAAGTGAGCGATGTGACGAAGGGGGGACGATTGCGCGGGCGGTCTCGCGTGAGCTGCCCGCATGTCGCGCGTGGGCACCTCGTCTCTCCGCGTTAGCGGTCGTGCAAGGTCGCGCCCCTTCCCACTGGTCGACCAGGCTGCAACATAGCTCCGTCACCACCGTCAGTGTATGATTTCCTCTCCCCCTCTCCTCTCCCTCACCGCTCCTCCTTCCTCGTCCGTCCACCCCCCCACGCACACCTCCAGGTCGAGGGTATCGGAGTGCCCCGGCACTCCTACCCTCTGCAGGCTCCTGAGGCCAAGCTGGCCACAGCCAGCATGAGGAACAAGCTGTCGCAGGATGCAGGTCCAGCCCGAGCCACGTCCCCACCCGAAGACCTCCGACGTGATGATCATTTCACGACGTGGGCCCCCTGGACCTCTCGGCTCCTCCCCAGGCATCGGTTCTTCGCCCCTGTCTATCGTTCCTCGGCGGTGCCAGGGCCCGGACGGAGAAGAGCCCCCCGTAGTCCGACATCCGGAACCTGCTTTGAAAGTGTCAAGACGTCAGAGATTTGGGTTTTTGTTCTCTTCCCCCAGGTGGGCATGTACTGCGTCACTGGGATCGCCGGTTACGTCACGTTCGGCCTTGGCCCGGGGGTGGCGCTCAGAGCACATACCGCGCCCTTGCGCACTCAGTGTTCCTCCCCGTGCTCGGGGGAGAGGGGCTGGGGAAGGGGGTTGCGAAAGCTGCTGCATGCAGCTAGTTTCGGCCTCGCCGCTGGGCGCTTTCCTCGATGGCATGGCCGCCTCCAGCGCCAGTAGGCGCTAGGGAAGCCAGCTAGTGTGAGCTCATTTGCTATCCTCGCTTTGCTGTCCCTCCTTTTCGTCCGACCCGATCCTCCCTCCTTCTTCGCCCCTCCTCCCTTAGGGATATATCAGAGTCTGGCCGAGCATTAGTAGGATTCAAATCGGAGCTAGATCCAGCTATAGTAGGACGCTACTAGAGTTGTACCACGTCCGCCCAGGGTGGCACTTCAGATACATTCAGCTTTCATAGGCCTGTATCAGAGACTGTTCGAGCATTCTTGGCATTCTACATCCCCGTTACGAAAGTGAATTCATCTTGGCTAAAATTGACATGTGTGGGCGCTGTGGTGAGAAGTGGTCTGAGGGTGATTCTTCCTTGTGGTTTCATACGGGGAGAGATTCAGAGTTGCCTGGAAGTGACCGGGAGTGATTTCTCCCTTGTGAATTTACGGCGGAAAGATTTTATCCTGAATTGGTTATATACGATTAGTGCTACCAGGGAGAACCCCGGAAATCTCTCCCGCCAAGCCAGGCCGAAGATTGCCGTGTTAGGAGTCTACGGGGGGAAGGGGGGGGCCCACTCGGAGACGCCCTAGTCGTCAGTGCTCAAGATGAATAACTTTCGTAACGGGTAAGTGTTGGAGGGATGGGTGGCCAGTTCGAACCCCCTCCCCCTGAACAGGCCCGCTTGGATATTGGGGGGGCAGGAGGGGGGCGGTTCGAACCCCACCCCCTTTGGAACACCTGGTCAGAGAGGCTGGTGTCCGGGGGGCAGGGCGGGTCGGGGGGAGGATCCCCAGGCGCTTCAAATTTTTAGGGACCCCCCCCCCCGGTTCCGACGCTGCCTCGGAGGTGGAACGTGCCCCGGTCGAGAGGGAGGCCTCGTCTGCAGTGGACAGCTTGTTCACCCAAAACGATGGCCCAGATAGACGCTGCTGCAAAGTCCTTCGGAATGGCGCGGGGCTTTGGCCCGCCATCGCGCAATGTGGCATTTGTTCTTTTCTGACTGCCCCGCCCCTCCCTGTCCTTCTCCCTCTTCCTCCCCTCCCTCCTCGTCTGCCCACGCCTCCTCTCTCGCACACGCACACACAAGCTGCGCAGCTACCCTTCGCCAGTGCGACGTCAGGGCGCGGCTTGGCTCGTTCGCTCGTACCCCGGTTCCGACGTGTCCACGGATCTGTTCCAAGCACGCGTCCACGCAACGCGTTCTCTCAAACCTCGTCGCACCCACCCAGCACACGAGGCACCCACGAGGCGCCCACGGGCGGGCACCAGGCTCCAGGCCTCCCAGATGGGGTCCGAGTAGATGGGGTCGGAGGATCGCGCCGCATCGCCGACGCATCGGCGATGCATCGCCGACGCATCAGCGATGCATCGGCGATGCGGCTCGATGTGGGGCCCGATTTTCTCCTCGCCGACGGCGCCGATGCATCGCCGACGTCGCCGACGCATCGCCGATGCATCGGCGATGCAACGCATATGCATCCCCCATGCGGCGCGATCGTCCGACCCCATCTGCTCGGACCCCATCTGGGATGCCTCTACAGGTGAAGCTATGGCGCACTAGGCGCCCACAAGCGCCCACGGCGGGCACCAGGCGAGACCTCGGCACATCCGCCCAGCGCACGAAACCCAGGATCAAGCCTCGGCGCACCCACCCAGCGCACGAGGCGCCCACGGGCGGCACAAGGCGCCACTTCGTCGCACCCACCCAGCACACGAAGCACCCACCCACGAGGCGCCCACGGGCGGGCACCATGCGAAGATTCGGCACACCCACCCAGCGCACGACGCGCCCACGGGCGATCACCAGGCGAAACTTCGGCACACCTAACACTTTGCGCAAACGGGCGTCAACTAACTGGACACCTGCGAAAAAACGCACCCAATCGATTCTACACGCTTCGCGTGGCCACCAGCAGCCCATCCTGAAATGATGCCCAGGCGAGTTGCCCTGATCAGGGATGTAGAGGAGCATGCCGTGGAATAGAAGGCAAGGGAAGCCGTCATACCCCACGAGGGGGAGGATGGGAGGAGGATGGAGGATGAGGGATGCAGGAAGGAGGATGGAGGATGGAGGATGAAAGTGGAGGAGGAGGAGGAGGAAGAGGAGGAGGAAAAGGGAGCAGGGAGGAGGAGGAAAAGGCGGAGAAGGAGGAGGGGGAGGGCTAGCAGAATGGCCAGAGGCCTCTTGGATGCGTCGCGGGATCTTTTCGGATGTCTCTTGACAGTTTCTTGGAGTCCTCCTGGGGCGTCTTGGGGGGGCCCTTGGAGCGCCTTGGGGGCCTTCGGGGAGCCTCTGGGGGCCTCTTGGGGCCTCTTGTGGTCTCGTGGCGGTTTCTTGGGAGCCTTTGGGAGCCTCCTGGGCGCCTCTTGGAGCCCTCTTGGAGCCCTCTTCGAAGCCTTGGGTGCCATCTTGGGGCCACCTTGGAGGAGGTCGATCAAAGAAGGGGGGTACTCAAGTTGCGCCGCCCGCCCACCCCCTTCCTGGAGGCCAGAATGAGCCCCAAACCATCGTAACATCAATCAGTTGTGCCTTCTCGTCGAAGCCATCTTCGACGCTCCAACGACCCGCCGCCCGCCCGTCCCTCCCCCCCGCCCCCAAGGTCCCGGGGGAGGGGGGAGGGGGAGAAGTAAAACCAAAACCCTCCCCGAAGGGGAAGAAGGGAGATTGGAAGCGGAAATTGGCCAAACCGCCCACGCCCTGAAGGGCTGGTGGGATGACTTCGTACCGCCGGAGTGATAGCCCCCCCTGAGGGCAATCACTGTTCGGGGAAGCTGGTGCCGCAATGATTTCAGCGTGCGTGCGCGGAGGCGCGCGCGTGCGGCCCGCCTGGTGTTGTTTGGCAGAGTTGGCTCTCAGGAGAGAAAAAAAACACAGACACAATGAATCGGCGATTCCCAGGAAAATGCGCGAAAATATGGGAAGTGTGGGGGGGAAGACAAAAGCCCAGAAACTATATGAAAATCTGAGGAATCCTGGGGTGAGTGTGTGTGTGTGTCTATTTATGTGTGTGTCCCAGGGCCCCTGTTAGGCTTTTGCGCGATGCGTGGCGGATGTGCTCGACATGCGCGCGCGCGTGCGGCCCGCATGCTCTCACTTGGCAGTGCGCGTGCGGCCCGTGTGCGTCCGCCTGGCAGCATGGCAGACGCCCGCGGCATGCCGCACGATCTCAGCGAGCGCGCGCGCAGAATTCCGAGAAGCTTGCTTTGCAAAAAATGCATTGTTGTTCTTAATAAGCGTGGGGGGGTACCCCCCCGACGGGGGTCAACCTCGCCTCGTCGTCGCGCCGCGACGGGGGTCCGAACGCCTTCGGCGCGCGGTGGCTGCCCGCGACGTGGGTCGATCTGGGACTGTCGGCGGGGGTGACGCCCCCCCGACGCTTATTAAGAAACTCGGAGTAATGTGTGTTTGAGTGTTGTTGCGTATGTGTGTTTTGGAATGGCTCGAACACTATTCTTTGTGTAATGACGTTGCTCTGCGCGTGGGAGCTTGTTCGCGTGGCCCGCAGTTTGTTGTTTCATGAGTCATGAGGGTTGGTGCAAAGCACGTGTTTAGGTCAGCCACATGTGCAGCGCATGCGATAAGTTTGCACAGGATAAGGGGAACCGATACCAATTTGGCTGTGACGATGCTATTTGACACGTGGGATGAGCGATCGTTCAACATGAACGTGAGACAAGAGCGTGGAGGGGACCCGACAAGGTGAGCGTTTTTTATTGAATCGCTTCGCTCATTCCGCTGGCCCATATTGCTTGCGTGCTCGGGGGGGGGCATTTGAGGGGCCTCCTGGGGCCGCTTGGGGGCCTCTTGGGGGCCTCTTGAGGGCCTGTTGGGGGCCTCTTGGGGCCTCTTGGGGCTTCTTGGGGAATCCTTGGGGCTTCTTCGGGCGCCGAGGGCTCGAAATGTTGTTTCGTGTTCCCCCCCCCCTGGGACCTCTCTTGGAGCGTTCTTGGGGCCGTCTTGGAGGCCTTTTGGGCCGTCTTGGAGCCCTCTTAGGCCCTCTTGGAGCGGTCTTGGGGGCCTCTTGGGCCGTCTTGGGTGTCGGGAAGCCGAAAAGGTGGAAACGCCAAAATCTTTCCAAAACCTAAGGGGAAGTAATGAATTTTGCCTCTTGGGGCCCTCTTGAGAGTGCTCTTGGAGGCCTTGGGCCGTCTGGGGGCCATCTTGGAGCGATCTTGTGGCATCTCGGAGCTCTCTTGTATCATCTTGAGGGGCTCTTTGCGGCCTCTTGGCCTTTCTTGGGGCTCTTTGGACGGCCTCGAGGGCGACGCCCAGGAGGGAAACCATCTCTGATCCGAGTCTCCCCGGACCTGCCCGGGGTACTTCTCGTCCGGGGACCCCCAGGTGCCGCCCCGCACGCGTGAAGTAGAATTATTGTAAAGCAGTTACCGGAGATCTTAGCACGCCTCTGGCCCGTTGGGCCAGCAAAGTCATTATTTTGCCGATCGGCGCGGACCCTCGCACCCCCCCCCTCCCCCTCCCCCCCCATGGAGTGGATCTTTGGCGCCTGTTTCGAGCAGGTGGAGTCTCCTCCATAATGGACGCACTGGTGCAACCAGCCGCACTGAGCAGAGGTCTGGAGCCAGACCCCGCCGCTGCCACCCCCCCCTGCCGCCCAATGTCGAAACGCCGAATACAAAAAAAACGCTCACGAGGAAGCCCGACAAGTCTGGCCTCGGCATACGGGTGCAGACCACGCGCACATCCCGAGACGCGAAGCCCGGAAGTGCAAGCCGGCACGGGGCGCCCACGAGGCGCTCGTGGGCGGGCACCGGGCGAAAGCCCAGAACGGGACTCCGCCAGCGAAATACGGACCCTCGGTGCAGGCACTGGTTCGGAAGATCGTACCAAACCGTCATTCCTGTTCAGGAAAAAAAGGGTGCCCACGTGGGAGTGGCGGATTCCGCTTTGAGGGTGGCCAGGAGAGGAAAGAGAGAGTAGCACCCAGAAGACGAGGGGTGTTTGCGGGCCTGGTCGCGCCCGGGAGAGGGACCTGGCAGGATGCGGCGCGGCGGCCGTCGACAGCAGCGGTTTCGGGCGGAGGGGGGGGAGGCAAGGAGCGAGCGCCTCGAGGCGTGTCTTGGGCAGGTCTTCGGCGTGGGTCCTCCAGGCGGCTCTGGGGGGCTCCATCCTGCGGGTGCCCTGCTCTCGTGGGGCAAGGGCGTTCCCCCCCCTGCCCCTGCAGGGCTCATTTCGACCCCTCCGACTCGATTCGATTCGATTTCGATCGACTCCGACTCCGATCCGGTTCGACTTCGGATTCCGATTTAGATTTCGGTCTCTCAGTGGAGGCCCTACCAGCCTGTCGACTTCCGCCGATTCGACTTCTCCTGACTTGGCTTCCGATTGCCGCCGATCCGATGTATTTCGATCGCCGATCCGACCCATCGATTCGAGCCTAGACTCTCCGCCCAATAGCCCTGACAGCCACAAGGTCCTGAGGGGCTCTGTCTGACCTGCGGACCTCCGCCAATGGTGCTGACCGCCGTCTCTAGGTCCTGATGGCTCTCCTGGACTCTCCGCCAAGCGCTGGACCCTCCGAAGGGCCTACGGTCAGAGCCATGACGCTCCGCCCCCACACTATCGGGGAAGCGTGAGACTACGCCGGAACTCGGTTTAGCCTACGCTTTTTTACGAGCGCGTCCTGGATGTTGGCGGTGCAGTTTTCGTGGGATGCTTGTAGCGGGAGCTCGCGTCAAATTCCAGCCTGGGTCTCGTCGTCATGTTCAGGATGGCCCCGTCAGGCCAACCCGAGTCCCCCGAACCCGAGCCGTGCGTCTCCCCGACACTGCCCCCGAAGGCCAGGCGGTGCCCTTCTCGATCATGGACACGCTCCAGTTCGGCCTCCCGATGCGCCTGGCTGCCCTCTTCCTGGCGGTGCACGTCATGGCCGGCCACCCAGACCCCCGCCCCCGGCGGCGCGCAGCAGGGGGCATCCGGCAGCCACGAATCTGGGCCTCCCGGGTGGGGTCCGAGCAGATGGGGTCGGAGAATCGCTGCGCATCGCCGATGCATCGGCGGTGCGGCTCGATGTGGAGCCCGATCTTCTCCACGCCGACGTCGCCGGTGCATCGGCGATGTCGTCGATGCATCGCCGATGCATCGGCGATGCGGTGCGATCCTCCGACCCCATCTACTCGGACCCCATCTGCGAGGCCTCTGGCGAGGCGTCAAAACCTGCCTACAATCCCACCAACTAGTATTAGGAGAGCCTCCTGTGGTTTGCACGAGTTGAGGCCGTTTTGTTGCAACACGCATCGGCCTGATGCTATACAAAGATAGTTATGTTTTTGTGTTAGTGTGAGGGCCTTCAGGCCGGAACCGCCGACCCAGAATGACGACGATGACGACGACGACGACGACGACGACGACCACGACGACCACGACGACCACGAAGACGACGAGCTGATGGCCCTGCCAAGGACTCAGGACACGGGGCGGGCGGTGGAGGGAGGAGGAGGACGAGGAGGCGCAGCAGGAGGCGGAGGAGGAGGATGAGGCGGAGGAGGAAGAGGAGCGGGGGGTGGGGGTGAGGGCGAGGGGGAGGTTCTAAAAACATGCTTTTGTTCCCCATATCCTAAGATGGGGTTCTTGTTATTACTTGGACGCCTCCTACTCCTCCTCCTTCCTCCTCCTCTTTTCTCCTCCCCTCCTGTCGGACATACTCAGACTTGCTCATACACAGACTTACTCATACTCAGACTTACTCATACTCAGACCTACTCATACTCAGACTTACTCACACTCAGACATACTCATATACAGACTTACTCATACACAGACTTACTCATACACAGTATTAGTCATACCCAGACGTACACATACACAGACTTACTCATACACAGACTTACTCATACTCAGCACCCCTAAGGGGAGCCGCCAGGGGTGGTTGCACGGGCTCGTTCGCGGCCATTTTGTGGGGATGTCTCAGGCGGTTTGCCTGTTTCTGGGCCCAACATCCTTCGCTTGGAGAGCAGATTGTGAGGATGTCTCAGGCGGGGCGCTGGTTTCAGCACCCCTAAGGGGAGCCGCCAGGGGTGGTTGCACGGGCTCGTTCGCGGCCATTTTGTGGGGATGTCTCAGGCGGTTTGCCTGTTTCTGTGCCCAACATCCTTCGCTTTCGTAGCAGATTTGGAGGATGTCTCGAGCGAGGCGCTCATTTCAGCACCCCTAAGGGGAGCCGCCAGGGGTGGTTGCACGGGCTCGTTCGCGGCCATTTTGTGGGGATGTCTCAGGCGGTTTGCTTGTTTCTGGGCCCAACATCCTTCGCTTTCGGAGCAGATTTGGAGGATGTCTCGAGCGAGGCGCTCATTTTCACCCCCCAGGTGGGCCAGATTTTGAGGATGTCTCGATCGGTTTGCTTGTTTTGGTGGCCAGGCTCGTGGGCGCAGATTCTTCTCAGGATGCCACAGGAGGCTCCAACAGGCTCCAGGAGGCCCCAGGAGACCACATGAGGTCCCAGGAGGCATCAGGAGGCCACAGAAAGACTCAAGAGGCCACAGGATGTCCCAAGAGGCTCCAGGAGGCCCCAGGAAGCTCCAGAAGGCCTCAGGAAACCACAGGAGACCCCAGGAGACAACAGGAAGCGCCAGGAGGCCTCGGAAGGCAACAGGAGGCCCCGAGAGGCCCCAGGAGCAGGAGGCCTCAGAAGGCAACAGGAGTGGCTCCAATCCCATGTGTTTTACGTATGCTCCTATCGATTGGGCCTCACCTGGAGCACGATTCTTTGATGTTCTACGTATGTTTCTATAGATGGTCCTTCTCCTGTGTACACAATCCTAAATGTTTTACTCATGTTCCTATGTATTGGGCCTCTCCTGGGGCACGAGTCCTTGGTGTTTTACGCGTGTTCCTATAGATTGCCCTTCTCCTGTGGCTCTAATCCGCAATGTTTTATGTACGTCTGTTGCTATAGATTGCGCCTCCCCTGGGGCACGAAACCTTCCTAGGAGGTCCCAGGAGGTCCCAAGAGGCTCCTGGAGACCCCAGGAAGCCCCAGTAGGTTTCAGGAGGCCCCAGGAGGCCCCAGGCTCATGCACAGAGACGCGCTCGTACTACTGAGGCTCATTCACACTCCAATTCATTCGCAGTTAGGTTGATGTCCAGACCGTCACAACTGAAGCCCGTTAATATTCGAAAGTTCTTGCGCCTAGACATTCACGGCGGACAGGTCCATGCGAGTAGATGCACACATGGGGAGCTCCACGCAGTGAATAATTAATAGAGGCTTCGTTCGAAGGACATGTCGTGGTGGGCCTATAGGAGCATGACGGGACGGTCGGCCCACACTCAAGTACAGGGCCAGGGGGGCGTGTTTCCCAGAGGACCAGGGCCCCCTTGGAAGCCCACCTGCCTTCTGAGAGGCCTTGCTCGGAGAACCCTCAAAACGCCCAATGTCAAATCAACGAGTAAAAAAAACGCTCACGAGTCTGGCCTCGGCATACGGGTGCAGACCACGCGTGCGTCCCGAGACGCGAATCCAGCGCACGGGGGCGCCCACGAGGCGCTCAGGGGCGGACACGGCGAAACCCGGAGGTGCAAGCGGGCACGGGGCGCGGGGCTCAGGAGGCGGGGGGTCAGTGCAACCGGGGGTCAGCCAGAGCGCCGGATCCTGCAGGATCCTGCAGAGCCAGGGCTGCTCTGGCCCGGGCTTGGGTGCAGGATCTGCAGGATCTTGCAGGCTCTCGCGGGATCCTGCAAGGCTTGACTGGCCCAGGTGTGGACTTCCCCGGGCGAGTAGATCCCCGACTCCTGCCTTCTGAGATCCCCTCCTCGGACGCCCGAGGTATTTTCCCAAGGAGCCTCATTGCCTTCCCTCGCCATGGTGGCAGGTCCTGAGGGAAACGGGTCCTGAGGTTTCTCCTCGTTCTCGGGCCCTCGGGGCCCTCCACGGGCCCTGGGACTGTCGGAAAACGACGCAGGATGAAGAACTCGTCTTAGGGGACGGCCCCCGGGTCTAGGACCCGTTTCCCTCAGGACCCGCTTCCCCCATGCTATCTATTTGTCAGGGACGAAGTTGGTAGGATAGGCTTAGGGGGGGATACCTCGACTTCCAATCGCCCATCATTCATCGCCGAAAGGGGCCCGATGGCCGACGAACGTGTGTTTTCGCCACAAGGGCCTGTCGCCGATCTTTCGGCGAGGTATCGCCGATTCCAGGCTATGTTTCCCCCACCCCCACCCCTCGCCCCACGCCCACCCTCTTCTGGGCGCCGCCAACCATGACCACACCCCGTCCACTGGCGGGGACGCGCAGCACAGGCACGGGCACGGAGGAGGCACTGAGGCCTCGGAGTGGCCAAAGTTGCTTGCCGTTGCGTCTCGTCTCTCGTGGCCTCGTCCGCTCCCTGGCGGCAGCCTCTCGTCACGGCTGGACGCAGCTCGAAAGACTACGGCCAAACCGCAGACTTGAGGGGCAATTCGGACCCAGAAGGCTCCCTGGGTCTTTCCGTGGCTGTTCCTGAACCGCTCCTCGTGCACCAAGGTGCTTTGGGACCCAGAAGGACCCTGTTCACTTCTGTTGCTTCCCTGTGGCAGCCGCCTGACTGTAGATATGGAGCAGACAGACACCGACTATCGCAGCATGGCTTGTGTGAGCTGAACAGTAGCATAGCTGACTTGAGCAATATTGAGTCGACAGGTCACAATACATGCGCGGACATTCCCAGTCGTGATGTGATTACCAGCCCTCAGCACAGAAGCAAAGTGTGGAAAGCATTCATGTCCACAGAGACCAACCACGAGAGCTTCCATTTTGGAGGCACGCCACCCCCCACAAGTTGGTCATCAGTAATTCGGGGCCTCAGTGATGGGAAAGGACCTGCTCGGGGGAGGAGACATCGACTAGGTTGCTCGCTACGCACTTCGCTTTTGACTTTGATTATTTTGGCGGCTTCCATGACTTGTGGGGGGATGGGTGGGGCCTGTCCCCTACGAGTGCCTGGTTGACACGATGGCGCATACAACCAATGATTCAGGATTCATCCAGAGAGGGCGCGGCGTGGACCTTGTTGGCCCACAAATTCACATTGCTCAGTGTCAGCGCGCGACGCCGCCTGCGTGCTCCAAGGAACATCCGAGGTCATAAGTTTGGGCACCAGCCCCTCCGCGGCCGCCCTCCCTCCTTCGCCCTGGCCCTGATACCACTCAGCATGTTCGCAGCCCGACCTAGCTTTACCGACTTGCTTGTGCAAGCGCTGAGTCCGCGACAACAGAACCAGTTTGGGCACGAACATTTGAAGTTGGTGAATGCAGGGTTGCCGACGCATTGCAGCAGAAACTTGCCTCAGCGAGGGCAGTGCCCGCTGTGTCACGCAGGGGCCTGGAGACGTCGACTTGTTGGTTTTCCTTGGAACGGCGGGAAAGCAGGTCTCGCAAGGACTAGGTGCTGAGGTCAGCAGGCTGCCGCTTGAGCTCTGAGCCCTGCGGCGCTGCACAGGCCACCATGTCCGCCGTGCCCATCCCTGAGGACGTCCTGAACGCTCGCAGCACTCGGGTGAGCAGGCTCTTGTCGGTGGCGGTGTTGGTTTGTCACCCTTGGTGCCAGAGGATGTTCCAACCTACTTTAGCCCCGATCACCAGAGAGAATTTCGAGCACCAGGAAAGTACCGGAACTGGAGGGATTTCATGTGTCGGGCCCTGGGAGGCGATATTCGTTCGACATTGTTTTGATACTTTTCTGGGTGCTCGAAATTATTTCTGGGATGTGGCCCTTGAGTACGATGGGAACAACATAATGTCAGAGCCTTTTCCCACGAAACTGCCCTCCAGCTGCCCCTCAGGATGCCCTCCGAGGTGGCACGCTCGCCCAGCGCCCGAGGTGCCTGGGACAACGGTGGCGGGTCACCCACCCGGCTGGTGCTGGGCGCGTGCGGCAGCGCCTACGCTTCACAGTCACAGCACCGAACGCGCCACATGGAGTTGCCGAAGCCACATGCGAGCGCATGACGGCAGACCCAGGTGTGGAGTTCTTTTCAGTCGCCGCGGCCCGTGACGTGGGCGAGGATGCGGTATGAATCGAAATCGTTGCCATTGCGTTGTTTCTCAATGCGCCGCCCAAGAGGGTCATTCCAAAGACCCGGAGATGACCAGAAGGATCAAGAGGAGGGCGACAAGGCGGTCGAGGAGACGGAGGCGGAATATTGTCGGAGCCCGCGCGAGAATGCGGCCGATTCGAGAGGGCGTACAAAACTACTCCGACGGGCACCAGGGCGGAAACATCGCGAGGGCACTGGGGAGGGCACGAAGGCATCCTTCGTTCTGAGGGGTTCGGCCTACCAACGCGCTACCAACACGTGCCGACCTGCGTGGCGAGGAAGAGGATCGAGACACAGAGGAAAGGACGGAACACGACGGAGTTGGAAGATGAGGATGAGACAATGGATGTGTGGAGAATGAAGAAGGGAGAGGGAGAAAAAAAAGAAGACGAGGAGGAGAGGGATGATAAGGAATACATATGAGGAGGCGGAGAGGGGGAGCGGAGGAGGAGGAGGAGGAATGAGGAGAGTGAGAGAGGAGAGTAAGAGAGGAGGAGAGAAACAAAGGAGGAGGAGAAGGAGGAACAGGAGGAGGAGGAGGAGTGAAGGAGGAGCCAGAAGAGGCGGAGGACACGACCATTTGGAAACCTTCGAAAACTTAGTTCCCCCTCCTTGTCCCTCCCTCCCTTCTCCCTCCTCGGGAACGCAGGGTCACGCTGCAGGGAGAGCCTGCCGCCCAAGGCCGGCACTGGGACGAACTCCGTGATCCTGGCCCGCTTCTTCCACTCGCGGATCAGCCCGAAAGACGTGACCCGGGGAGGAGGCGGGAGGCATTCTTCGGAGGGGCTCGACATGTACACCCGGTGGCATGGTCCATGTCTCCTGGCCGGCCAGGCAGCAGAGGACCTCGGCGGAAGAATGCGGTGCACAGTCGCTCCAGCGCCCCAGAGTCTGTGAAGCCGAGGCAGCGTATACGCTGACCCCATGGGTCCGCGCCCGCGTGCGAACCCTGCCCCTGCGGGTCCAGTCGGTGCTGGGGTATCGGACGCCCCGCTGGGGTTCGCTCGGCTGCAGACATCCCGCAAGGCTGGCCTGAGAAGTTGCTCCGAAATGATTGCCGCAGTGGACGGGAAAGCGGCGGAGGCTCGGAGGACCCCAGGCCGTGCCCACTTGCAAGGGTTGATGCAGGTCTGCCGTCATGTGCAGTGTGCCCGTTTCAGCTTCGGGGCCACGCAGTTCTCACACCTCATGTGTGATGTGTGGTTCGCAGACATCCCTCGAATTTTGAACCCCGGCGCGGCGTCTCAGAAATCGGACCTGCAGGGGTAGTCGGGGCGTCAACGAGAGGGGTGATGACTGAGGGGGGGTGGATATCATGGCGTAGGCCAAGATATTTCCTCAGATTTCATGGCACCTCCTTTTGTTTCATTACGTTCCTGCCCCCCCCCCCTGGGCCGCGCACATGCCGCCGGCCATGATTTGCGCCCCCCCTCTCTTGGACGCCCCCCTGACCACCCCCGAGGTAGGGTTCGCATGCGGTCGCTCAATGGGCCGACCAGTCGACTTGGTGCACACGGGGGCCGCTTCCCGGACCCCAGGGCCATCAGATAACAGCCCGGGGTCGAAATGCCGTCGGGGGCGGCCCAGAGGGGGTTGATGATGAAGGGGGGATATTGGACGCCTTCAAGGGCGCCAGGGACGTGTCTAGGCGCCGACGTAGCCTCGGGAAGAGGGGGTGGTGCATGCCCCTGGGAGCGGGGGGGGGTATGGGGTTGGGGTGTGGGGCGGCGGCCCTTCGAAACATTAGAGAAGCCGTGCAAGACAGCTCACAGGCATCCTGACACGCCGCTGCCGCGCAGGTTTCGCCAGGATTGCTTCAGACAGGGAATGGGGGGCTTTAGAGGCTCAGGGAAGCGGATTCTTGGAGGAGGGGGGAGGTCTGCGGGGGGAGCAGAGGGTTCCCCCCCGCCTTGCCCGTTCTCATATCAGAAAAGGGGGACTTCTGAGGAGGGAAGGGGAAAAAAACATTCGCAGCGCAGGCAGCAACAGGGACCAGGTGCTGTAAGAGTACGAGAAGCAGGAGGAGGAGGAGGAGGAGGGGCAGGATACGGAGGGTCGGCAGTAGGAGGGGGGTGTTGAAGGACGAGGAGGAGAAAGACAGGAGCCACCTAGCCTGCTCGCAGCAGCGGCGACCCATGGCGCCCGAGGGCTGCACGGCAGGACGACCCGACGGCGTCGCATCGGCCCTTGCTGCAGCGTGTCGTTCTTTGGTGGGCCCGGGCCCCCGACCATGCCCACATCTGCGGCCTCCGCGGGTCCAGGAAGCCTGGTTCCCAGGTCGGTTCCCCGGTCTCTGCCTCGCACCACGCTCCCCGCCTCCCTCCTCGTCCATCCTCGCCCTCTCAGGCCACACAAGCTGTAGCTGCCCGAGCTTGCACTTTTGGTGCGTGCGGCACCAGAGGGCTGCTCTGGTCATCCCCCCCGACCTGGAGAACGTCGGCGCCCTCGGCCATCGTTTGCTCCCCTTACCGTGTTCGGACGGGGGACCTCTGTTCGTGTGCGTCCGCTGCACGGCCTGTTCCACTCTTGGGCCTTCCGGTCTTCTCAAGGAGGAGTGCAGCCACCCCACGAGAAGTAGCCTTGATGGATGGACGTGCAGAGTTCTCAAGGGCAAGCACCCACCTCGTAAGAACGTGTTAGTGGAAGCAGCATTTGCCGAGGGATCACACGTCGACAGGAGAGGTCAGAGTGAAACAAATGCCGGGCGTGGTCTTACAAGCCCGGCTGTTCGATGGTTTTTTTGTTTTTTGTTTTTTTGGTTTGCGTTGCCCCCGCTTCCGCTTCCAGATGCTTGGCCCCGCAGCTGGCTCAGGGCCGCGCCCAGCCGCCGCAGGCCCCGCCCCACCAGAGCCAGCCCAGCCCCCAGGAAGCTCCAGTTCTCCCCAGCGGGCGGGAGGTGCACGGGCAGTCCGCGCTGGGAACCGTCCTGCGTCCCCAAGCAGGCCCCAAAGGCACCACTAGGAATTGAACCCAAGAAGGTCAGGTTGTGGGAGAAGGCTCACTCCATTTCACTACAGTGTCAATATTCGGGTGGGGAAGGGGGGGCACTCTGGTCCCAACGTGGCGTCAGTGGTGGTTGTCTCCTTCGTGTGTAGCCAATGTGGGAATAGGGACCCCGTGGAGGCGGTGAAAGAACTGGTTGGTGGCGGGGCGGAGCGCGGCCATCGGTTTGGCGGTGCCACAGCGGTCGCACTTGGAGTGGAAGCGGCGGCAGGGGGGGGGGGGCAACCATGAAGCACAGGCGGCGATGGCGGCAGCGTAGCTGGGGCGGTGGGAGATAGGGGAGGCGGGCGGTGGCTGTGGCGAGTACAATGGCGCGCCCCCCCACCCGCCCCAAGGAATGAACGTTTTTCCTCAACCGCGGGCGTGGCTGTCCGCCGCCCTGCGGCACGCAGGCACCTCCAGGGCCCAGCGCGCCACACCGCGCAGCCTCGGATGGGGTTTGGTCGAACTGAGGATCCCCAGAACGGAGCCAGAAGAGCCTCTGGACATCCCCAAAATGTAAAACGGAAATCACTGTAGTCAGAATTCTGTGCAAGTAAAGCGGTTTAGACTTGCTGGGGGCTTTGCGCACCCCTGGAATGTGGAATTCAGGCACATGAGCGCCATGTAGGAGACGCCCTTTCCAGAGCCAAGAAATCCCCATTTGCGACCCTCTGGCGTGCCCCCAAAGCCTTGAGGCCCCCACAAGCACGGCCGCTGCCGCTGCCGCCGCCACTGCCACCACTGCGAAAGCCTCCGCAGCCGCCGCCGCCCCTGCCGCTGCCTCTGGCATTGCCAGCCAGGCCCACCGCCGCCGCCGCCGTCGCCGCTGTTGCGCCGGCGGCCGACCCCCCACTGCAGCCCCGCCCGCGCGACCGCGCCCGCCACCGCCACTGTCACCACACACGCCACCACGCCTGCCCCGCGGCGCGCCACAGCCACTACCGCCGCCGCGGCCAGCGCCGTTCGCCCCCCAACGCCATGTCCGCCCCCGCCACCATCGCCGCCGCTACTGCAGCGGCAGCCACAGCCACGGCCCCCAGCACCCGCCCCATAAGCCGCCGCCACCAACATCGCTGCTGCCCCCAGTGCCACTGGCTGCCCTGCCGCCACAGGCCTTGCCGCCGCCGCCGCCACTGCTGCCACTAGCACGAGGCACCCAGCACCCCAGCGCCCGCAACGCCAACGCCGCAGCCCCCAAAACCTCTGCAATCCCAGCGGCGGCCGCGCTCGCCGCCGCCGCTGCCGCCACCACCACCACCGCCAACGCCGCCGCCCATGCAGCACGGCGACGACAACTGCCGCCCCCACCACTGCTGCCACCACCGCGGCCACCACAGCCGCCGCCACACGCGCCACCACCACCACCACCACCACCGCCACCACCACGACCACCACCACGACGACGACGACGACGACGACGACGACGACGACGACGACGACGACTACTACCACTACCACCACTACTGCCACCACCACTACGCATACGACTGCTACTACGACTGCCACCACCACTGCCACTACTTCTAGCACCACTACTACAACTACTACGACCACCACCACTACCACGACTACTACCACTACCACCACCACCACCACCACCACCACTACAACTACTACTACTACTACTACTACTACTACTACTACTACGACTACTACTACTACTACTACTACTACTACTACTACTACTACTACCACTACGACTACTACTACTACTACTACTACTACTACTGCTACTACTATCACTACTTCTACTACCACTACTACTACTACTACTTCTACTACTACTACTACTACTACCACTACTACTACTACTACTACTACTACTACTACTACTACTACTACTACTACTACG